TTCACAGGGCAAAACGACTAATTTCCATGACTTATCCGTTGTTTTCCGTTCTTCTTTAGTCACCGATAACTCTCTCAGTCTCTCTGATAACTTGGAAAATGACAAATACCTAATAAGGCTTTCAGTTTGTTAATCTGGAAAGGACTGTAAAGCTTCAATGCAAGTGGACTATGCCACTTCATGTCACAACCCTCTCTAATCAGTCTTCGAGAAACCATCATCTACCTCCAGACTGAGACCTTCCCTCTCCTATACATATCCTTTCTCTAAGAAACCCATACGTCCAATCGGTAAGGTCATTAAGCCCACGTAAGGGGAACTCACACTTCGAAACATCGAAATTACAAGTTGCAGATTCAGCGCACATTCAGGAAAACCAGCCCCCCTTAGTGACAGCAAGGGTGTTTTTCTCCAAAACAACGAGCATAAACCTAACCAGCCCAACATCCACATTTAGGCACTTACACTCAGATGACGTCCACGCCGTCGGCGGTCTCAGTGACTTTACGACCAGGGGTCCATTTCTCGAAAGTTCCGATAACTTTTCAGGCCCGAAAAGCTGTTCTATGTTCGCCGTGTTTGCATTCAAGATGAGTTTAAATAATTTTGAAAATAATAAAGTGAAATTATCACTTAACGAAGCAAAATTGACCGGTTTTTGAACTACATGTAGGAACTAGGCTTTCAGGTAGCCTCTCACGCAGGCCTTTGTAGGGGAGTCTTATTTCCTCCCTCCCCAAAAACGCCTGCTTAGCCAAGACCAACATTTCTTTCCGCCACTTTGCCAATCAAATGCGTATGGTACCTACCAAAATCTAGTGAGTTTACCTTGAACGCAAAAGCTTTTCACGGAAACAGAGCCAGGACAAAGGATCTTGATAGAGCTTTTACCACCCGTGTTTATCAAGTTTAAGATTTCTCGGTTAAATTCATTTAAGATAAAAGCGATTTACGAATTTTTAAACAAGGCGACATATACGCTAGTTTTCTGACTGGCTATGGCAAATCGCTTGTTTAACCAGTTTAACATTCGGTGATCGATAGCCTCAGTCACCACTTTTTCGGGTCACGTAGCGGGTAGTTGTGTCACCTCTCGCATCAGAGTATCCTAGTCAGTCTGCGCGATTTGTAGCCAGAAGACCCGGAAAAGTAGAGAAAACAGTGTTTTCGGTTGCTTTTGGCTCTATACAGTCACGGTGGAACACTGAGCGTCGGATAGAGATTCTGTCCCATCGACGTGGAAAAGTTATGTTGATGAGGTAGGTTATAAAGCAATTTTAAGAGCAGGGAAGATGGAGTAATTTTGTTTCATGTGTCGAGATGNTTACACTCAGATGACGTCCACGCCGTCGGCGGTCTCAGTGACTTTACGACCAGGGGTCCATTTCTCGAAAGTTCCGATAACTTTTCAGGCCCGAAAAGCTGTTCTATGTTCGCCGTGTTTGCATTCAAGATGAGTTTAAATAATTTTGAAAATAATAAAGTGAAATTATCACTTAACGAAGCAAAATTGACCGGTTTTTGAACTACATGTAGGAACTAGGCTTTCAGGTAGCCTCTCACGCAGGCCTTTGTAGGGGAGTCTTATTTCCTCCCTCCCCAAAAACGCCTGCTTAGCCAAGACCAACATTTCTTTCCGCCACTTTGCCAATCAAATGCGTATGGTACCTACCAAAATCTAGTGAGTTTACCTTGAACGCAAAAGCTTTTCACGGAAACAGAGCCAGGACAAAGGATCTTGATAGAGCTTTTACCACCCGTGTTTATCAAGTTTAAGATTTCTCGGTTAAATTCATTTAAGATAAAAGCGATTTACGAATTTTTAAACAAGGCGACATATACGCTAGTTTTCTGACTGGCTATGGCAAATCGCTTGTTTAACCAGTTTAACATTCGGTGATCGATAGCCTCAGTCACCACTTTTTCGGGTCACGTAGCGGGTAGTTGTGTCACCTCTCGCATCAGAGTATCCTAGTCAGTCTGCGCGATTTGTAGCCAGAAGACCCGGAAAAGTAGAGAAAACAGTGTTTTCGGTTGCTTTTGGCTCTATACAGTCACGGTGGAACACTGAGCGTCGGATAGAGATTCTGTCCCATCGACGTGGAAAAGTTATGTTGATGAGGTAGGTTATAAAGCAATTTTAAGAGCAGGGAAGATGGAGTAATTTTGTTTCATGTGTCGAGATGAGTAAGAATACCTCAGTGATTTCGACGCTGAAGTGGACTTCACTTTGTTGTTGCATGAAGTGCAAAGTTTCACCTCTAATTTCAGCATCTTTATTCGAAATTTGCTGATATACCCTTCGATTTACAGACTGCCACATAAATGTAAATGATGTCTTCTTAATTCTTCTTTGCTTTTTCTAATCACACTGAGCCTTTTTTGGCAATTGGGCGCGCGTAAGTAAACAACCCGGATCCAAAGCTCTGTGATTTACTGAAATTCTTACCCCCTGCCCACTCGATCAAGCGAGGAATGTCATCTTCAATTTTCCGCAAATTGTGTACTCTTCCAGCAGATGACTGAATTAAACCGTCGCACAAAAAACGATTTCATTGGCTTTCAATCATTTTTTCGGTGCAATGATAAGTAAAATAATTGCAATTTTGACTTCACAGCGTCCACATCTCTCAAGGTAGATGGAGTGCGCGGGTAATTGTAAGAAAATATCTCTCACTGTTGACTGGTCACATTACCATTCGAAAAAACATTTCGAAAGGACTGTTGGTCTCGGGTTAGCAGGTTCTTGTGAAGAGAAAGGGAATACAACTCCCTAAAAACGCCTCCGTGCATTGGAGGCTAACTTCAGGAAGATCAACTGATCTCAGTGTGCAATGGCAAAGATAAGGTTGAAGGCCTGATAATCGTACGTAAGCCAGTCCACCTTACGTATCCGTAGCGAGAACTTGAAAAAAGTAAAAGCAAAAATAAGCGACGTGGTAAAATGTTTAAAGTTAAGGAAAGTTGCTTAGCATACCCACTGGTGCAGCAACATGACGGTAGAATAGAAAGACCTCGCTGATGGCGCACCCGAAGTGTGCGGCGCGAGGCATATTTTTTAAACAAACTCTCTGAAAACAGTTCTTTTTAAAGGCAGTGATATGACATTATTTAAACATGAATTTATAATGTCAATTTGGCTTTCTGAGAGAGGGTTTGACACATTTCTGCGCAAACCGAGCGAAGACGTTTACATCCTAGAGTTTTTGACAAGGGTTAAAATGTGTTTGAAGAGTTACAAACTGCAAAAGACGACAGTTAGTGTACAAAGTTAAGCCCCTGTTGTCCGATCAGGCCGCCATGACAAGTTTCCTAATCATCAGAAGAGTGACATTTTAAGATAATAAGAGCAAAAATTTAATTTGTACTTAATCAGTGTGCGTTTTGATTAACTCCCGTAACTTGAAATATCTTTAGCTTTTCACTTTTCTGGGGTAGAGAAGAGGCAACCAAACCAGCTTTGCCAGAAAATATCAAGAAAGCAACGTAATTTGACTTGTTGCAGTTTTCTTGTAAACAGGAAATTATTATCTAATATAAAATGCAACAAAATCCTTAAAAATACACTTGATGAGATCCCCGGAAACACTTTCAATTAAACGAAAATATAGCACTTACTAAGTAAACAACTGATAAATAGTAAAACGATCATCCCTCTAAGGGAGAGTGCATAGTGCCAGATATATACCTCGACGCCTCTCGTGAACCACTGTCCCTTTTCGGGATATAGCTGCTGTATATATCTCTTATTAGCCGAGTTTTCGGTCCGTACTGTAAATTACGGACCGAGTTTTTTTTCCATCGATTTATGGCCCAATCGCTAAGCGTGCGGGCCATAAATCGATGGAAAAAAACGAGGATCCGCAATTTACAGTACGGACCGAAAAAACGAGGCTAATAAGATGTTTATTATATGGCTTCTTCCAGTTTGGGGGACCGGAAACAAGTGCAGGAAGCTCGATTTGACAATCATTTGACAGAGCGCTGTACGTTTTAGCTCTTTAATATAACGCTGGAGTATTTTGGAAAATCGGGCACTGTGTCTTTCTCGAAGTCGTTTCCATCTTTTCTCCGTTGGTCCTTGTGAAAAAAAAAAAAAAAGGCAAAGAAGTTTTCAAGGTAAGTTTGTTGTCATTGTCGAAGGATTCGCTGGTTAATTTTTTGGGGGAAAACCTATTGAATTTCTGCCGGTTCATTCTCGTCTTCAAGTGTGATCTGCGTTAAAATTTTCAAACACTGACCATATTCTCTTCCACGGAAAGGTTACGATTCAGTTTCTACATCAGCTTCGTTCTCATCCAAACCAAGCTAGGTTAAAATCAGGAAAGGCAAAGTCAACATCCCAGTTCTCAGCGTTTACAGACATATTTTTAAGTATATTCGGTCAAAACTAAGAGCACTGTAAGTATTCACTCGTCAATGTGACGCTGGAGTCTTTTGAAAACTGGACAATGTGTCTGGCTCGAAGTCGCTTCTATCTTTCTTTCGTTGGTCTTTGAAAAAACACTGCAAATGGCAAAGAAGCTCGTTAAGATGATCGGGTGCAGGCATGTTTGTTGTCATATTTGTCGAAGGAATTACTCATTTTCTCTTAGGCAAAACATCTCGAACCTCTGCCAGTCGATTTTCGTCTTCTTAAATGTGTACTACGATAAAATTTTCAAACACTGACTAGAATCCTCTTCGATAAGATCACGAGTTAATTTCTTCATCGCCTTCTTTCACAAGTAAACACAATTTAAAATGTTGAAGGACAAAGTCAAAATCAAAGTCCTCAAGGTTGATAGACGTCTTTTAACATTATTTCAACCTTTTTTTTCCGAGGTAAAGAGATTTAGAGCTCCGAAATGAGCATTTTCTTTGAAATTTTGGTCCGTATAGCAAGTTACGGACCGAAAATTGACCAATCACATGGCGAAAACAGACTCAGCCATATAATAAACTATCATATCCTCAAATAAAAACACTGAATAAACAACAACACAAAATATTTGGTTATGTTACAACTTTTCCATAAAAGAAAGATTTGTGAATATTCCTGGCGGGAGCTTCTCGATCCTGCTTGACGATAAATCCCTGGAGCAAAATTAAGGTAGAGACGGTCAAACACGTCATGCAAAAACCTGCTACTTACATATTAGCGAATCCGCTTACCAATAGAAAAACCATCTCACAAGAACAAATTATCGAGCTAGCAAAATAAAACAAATCTAGATGTTTTCTTTTCTGGCTATCTTACAAATTCGAGTTATTTTAGGATATTAAATAGAAGAAATAATTGTACGTCAGTGAGGACAAACCAACAACGACGATAACAATAATGATACCCATTTTTATTAAATTATTTTAAGGTTTAAATGTATAGCTTTATGCAGTAGAAAATAATTAGAATTTACCTTTACCGGTAAATAAATATAATAGTAATAATAATGACGATAATGAAGATGATAATTTTAAATAAGGATGTGCAGTGGTAATTACAATTTAAGGTGGCCCGAATTCGAACCTATTTATATGCGCGTTGGTTATGTTTTTTAATCGGGTTTTTCGGCGGGAATGATTTGACTGATTTCCATGATTTTTGGCATCCTTAATAAAGAATGGTCGAAAATGTCATTTATTTTCTTGTAGGTATATAAACGTTTGAGATATCGGCATATGTTTAAAACCGCATTTTTACAAAAAATATCAAATAATTTCGAAACCCTAAGAGAGATTTTTCTCTAACTTCGGCAAATAAGCCTCAGAACTCTCTAGTTTTAAATCTGGAAGTTTAAAGTCAATCGTGACCGTAGAACTCGCTGAATAGCTGGTCAAATTTAACCCTAAAATGCAACGCTAACACATTAATTTTGTGAAAGTTGACGCACGAATAGAGGGAAACCGCCAGCGGACTATCTCCTATCTGCAAGGGTATTCATACGGAAAGCTTCAGTTGCAATATACTGAGTAATCAGAAATATACGGCGAATACAGTTCGCAATACAAGAAAGAACAACTTTATGCTGAATGCGGGGCAAGATAAAAGAATTTCTATTTATCAAACTTACTTTGTATTTGTCGCTCTCTTTTCGAAACCTATCTTAACAAGGCTATTATATTATCCATGAAAAACTCTCAAGAGTTTTTAGCGTCGTAGGTTTCCGTTTTCAGGAGAAATAAAGCCACCAACTCCAGTACTTCTAACCGTCCATATTTCACTTGCACTGAAAGCCCTTTTTCTTGGTAATTTATTCAAGGTTTTTAGACTTGACATCACATTCGCACGGGAAGTTTGCCACTTGGGGATAAAGATGAAGAAAATATGACAATCGTAATGATATCGTCTTATTCTTTTCATTATCCCCAATGGTAAATGCCCGTGCGAATGTGATGGCAAATCTTTCAAACGTGACTAAATTACCTAATACAAGGGTTGTCGATGCAGCTGAAAATGGATCGGTTAAAGTACTGGAGTTGGTGGCTTTATTTCTCCTCAAGACGGGAACCTTCAGTGCTAAAAACTGGTAGGAGATTTCCGTAGATGTTATACCGTGCTTTGTTGTGATTTTTTGCGAAAAGAGAAGGGAAAATACAAAGTAACTTTGACAAAAAGAAGTTATTTAATCTTGCCCCGCATTCAGCATAAAGTTGTTTTTCTTGTATTGCGAACTGTATTCGCCGTATGTTTCTGATTACTCAATTTCTTACAACTGAAGCTATGGGCAAGAATACCCTTGCAGATAGGAGATAGTCCGTCAGCAGTTGTCCTCTATTTGTGTGTCAACTTTCACAAATGCGTTAGCATTGCATTTTAAGGTTAAATTTGACCAGTGATTTGTGCAGCGAGTTCTGCGGTCGCGATTGACTTCAAACTTGCAGATATGAAACTAGAGAGCTCTGAGGCTTACTTGCCGAAGTAAGAGAAAAATCTGTCTTAGGGTTTCGAAATTATTGACATTTCTTGTAAAAATGCGGTTTTAAGCATATGCCGATATCTCAAATGTTTTTATACCTACAGGAAAATAAAGTTCGACCATTCTTTATTAAGGATGCCAAAAATCATAGACAAGCGAATATTAACGTTAAAAGCCGACGTTTCGGTATCATCATGACACCATTCTCAAGGCAAAATGAATAAATATTATTCGCTTGCTTATGTTTTAAGAAATCGTTTTTGATCAAAAATTATTGAAATCGGTTAAATCATTCCTGCCGAAAAACCCGTTTCAAAAACATAACCAACGAGCAAATTAATAGGTTACGATTTGTGTTTGATTGTCTTCAGGATAACGTCTGTACCCCTTTTAAAGGATATTTTACAAAAATTGAACACAACATTAACACTCGAAACAATGGGTGTTCACTAAAACTTCCCAAAACTTCGCAAAGCAAAATTAGAATTTGGACGGAGAAGTTTTGCTTTTCAAGGGGCTCCAGTTTACAATACTTTACCTCGGCATTTAAGAAATTTAAATTCTAGGTTTCTTTTTAAGGGTAATTTTAAATGGTTTTTTCAAT